GGCCTTCCCGCTGCAGTTTGACAATCTGTTTGAGGCAGCTCTGCCTCTGTATCTATTATTGTTCAAAAGTTTGTAATGGTCTCAATTATCCATGAATAAGTGAGATCATGTGGTATTTTTCCTTCATTGACTGGCTTATTTCACTTAGCATAATGCTCTCCAGTTCCAGTTCATGAATTATCTTGTCAGCTATCTGCATAATCTCCTTTTAAAATTATTCATTGGGTTTCTTCTTTCAAAACTTGCTTTTAATTCTAGCTGTGTATCATTCTTCAGATCTGCCTGTTGTTTCATGATGTCCTTTTAAAAAAACTTTTCAATTCCTTTTGTGTCACTAATCACTTTAACTAAACATCCCTGTTTTATAGGCTAATAGCTCTATTAAATCAATTTCCTGTTGTTTGTGTGTGTTGGTCCTTATATATATTTGTAGACTGTTTACCCGTTTATTTTGTAAGTTTGAAAAGTAAGCTTATTTTCAGCAAGGCTTTCTCTGGGGGGATCTTGCGTGGCCTGCGTTAAGAATAATTCCTTCGAGATAAATTGTGTGTCTTATGCATATTCCCAGGGCTGTTACTGACTAAGAACCACTGGATGTTAATTTCTTGGCTTCGGAGTTTGCAGACCTCAGAGTGTAAATGCTGAGGAGACTCCCAGGCCAAGACGGACCCTTCCTCAGTGTCCTCCTGTGCTGGTGGCAGAATGTTTCCTGGCCCCCCTTCCCCGAGGCTGCCCTCTCATGTGTCCCAGCTTCATGTTGGGCTGCAGGGAAGGTCTGTTTTACTCCTACCCGCTGCCTTCTGCAAGTCCAAGGTTTCACCATTTCCCTTATAGACAGATGTAAAAGCAGAAACCCATAGGTTAGTGGGGTTGGCAGTGGAAACCACGTAGAGAAGCTACTAGAAAAGCTAATAAATTGAGACTAAACAGTTTGTCCAGATCAAGGAGATCATAGCCACCCCACCATTCTCTGTGCTAGTCATACCACCCCAAAGTATCTCCCTCATCAGTAGGTACGTAAATCCATGGTTATTATAGTATACACTTACAATATGTACACTTAGAAATGCTAAGAATTTGAAATGGTCTAAAGCAAATAAATTCGCCCTAACCGGTTTGGCTCAGTGGGTGGAGCGTCGGCTTGCGGACTGAGGGGTCCCAGGTTCGATTCCGGTCAAGGGCATGTACCTTGGTTGCGAGCACATCCCCAGTGGGGGGTGTGCAGGAGGCGGCAGATCGATGTTTCTCTCTCATCAATTCTAACTCTCTATCCCTCTCCCTTCCTCTCTGTAAAAAAATCAATAAAATATATTTAAAAAAATAAAAATAAAAATAAATAAAGCAAATACATGCAAAACGAAAAAACTTTGAACTTACTAAAGATTTAAGTAAGCTGGTCTTTAAAAATATGGAATGCTAGTGTACTGGCTTAAAATATAGAGATATAATGTCATTTCACATTTTAATTGCACCTTAATGAAATTATATATTTTATATAGATTTAAGACTATTGAATGTATTTCTTTACTGTTACAGTTTCTGAATAAATAATTCTAAAAATGTGTGCTAAGACTCATTCATGTTATTCACATCTTTGAGTGTTCTGTGTGCCAGGCATGGTGCCGGGTCCTAGGGAAGCACCCGTGAGCAAAGAGGGCACAGCCACCATTACAGAGCTCATTCTGGGCCAGGCAGGCAATAAAGGGTGTGAACTGGGGAGCCTGCTGCACAGAACCAGCCAGGTAGGCGCATCTCAGTCTAAACAGTCTGGGAGTACTTCTTAATTACCCCATGACGAAAGGCAAATGAATGTTCTTTGGGCCTAGAGCAGTGGTCGGCAAACTGGGGCTCGCAAGCCACACACGGCTCTTTGGCCCCTTGAGTGTGGCTCTTCCACAAAATACCACGTGCTGGTGTGCACGTACCATGTGATTGAAACTTTGTGGCCCATGTGTAGAAGTCGGTATTTTGTGGAAGAGCCACACTCAAAGGGCCAAAGAGCCGCATGTGGCTCGTGAGCCGCAGTTTGCTGACCACTGGCCTAGACAATAATCTAATTGACATTTCTAAAGTCTAAAAGATGGGTACTAGAATATGACAAATATGAAGATCCTGTTATCTTAAATGTGAAGTTAGTATACCACATGTTTATTTTCCTTTTTTTAATTGAATTTATTGGGGTGATATCCTATATAATAAAAGCTTAATATGCAAATCGACCGAACCATGGAATGACCAGTCGCTATGACATGCACTGACCCATGGAACGATCAGTCACTATGACATGCACTGACCACCAAGGGGCAGAAACTCAATGCAGGAGCTGTTGCCAGCCAAGGCAGGTGCCAGAGGGGTCCCCCCGATCACCCCACCGGTCACCCCACTGAGGGAGGTGACCAGTGGTGCCAGCAAGGGGCAGGGCTGGCTATCGAGTGGGCGTCAGATTTCTCTATCAAGTCATGTTGGTCCAAGAGTTTCTGTTAACTGACACAGAATATATTTCCTATGTTTATCAAAAAACTTACTGTAATTGTTTTTTTATGATAAAGTCCCTTTTTCCTAACTTGTTTGGCCTTGATGCTAGTTTTTAAGTCTTAACCCAGTCACATTTTTCACGCAGACCCCCAACCCTTCTTCCCTCTAACAGTTGTCAGTGTTCTTTGTGTCTGAGTCTGTTTCTATTTTGTTAGTTTATTTTGTTCATCGGATTCCACATAAAAGTGAAATCATATGGTACTGTCTTCCTCTAACTGGCTTATTTCACTTAGCA